CCTGTCATCGCTCACTTTGTGACTGACAGGTGCCTGTCCTCCTATCAAAAGATGCATATCGTTCATTCTAGCGGGAGAGGGCTTGGCAGACTCTTTCTGACTAGCAAATTGAAAAGTAGCCTAGTTAATTTAAGTTGAAAAAGTAGCAGGCTGAAAATGAGTCTGTAATCGGCTGTATAGCAGGCAACCGGTGTTAGTGGAAAACACTGGAATCCCTCAGAGAGAGAGAGAGAGAGAGAGAGAGAGAGAGATGGAGAGGGATAGAGAGACAGAAAGAGAGAGATGGAGAGAGAAAGAGAGAAATAAATAGACTGCAAAACAAAGATAGAGGGAGAGGAAAGGGGGAGGAGGTGAAGGGTACATCCATGCGGTATGACTAAAGGGATTATAGTATAATGAGCCAAGCTATGACAACCTGCCTATAGTGGGGTCACCAGCCAGCCTGCAATTGACCTTTACTAACACATTCCATTCCCATTTAGCACCTCAAAATTAAAGTATTCATACATTGCACTGCTTTACTGTACTCTATGACAAATAAACAATATTATATCAAGGAGAGAAGGAGTCAAGGAGGGAAAGAATGCATGCTTGGAGAGATGGAGAAAGAGAGAAAGAAAGATTCAGGAATAGAAATAGTGAAATAGAGTGAGTGAGAGGAAAGACAAGCTTTATTGGAAAGTGGAGAGCAAACATGTAGCAGCCAGGCGATTTGTGAACATGCCTGAACAATACCAGACATCAGCTGATCTGCCCTCCCGCAGTCGCCATGACAACTACGTCTCCTGCGAAGTTGGCATGACAAAGGCGGAGGTAGATAGCAACGGATGGTGAGGGAGGAAGGTGCCTGAGGAAGCGGAGGGAGTGTGTCCAAGGAAAAAGAGAGGGAGGTAGAGAGGGAGGTAGAGAGGGAAGGAGGGATGAATAACAGACATTATTTAAATTTTACAGCATTTCCGTTTTTACAAAGACACAACAGTGTGGCTAAGACATTACAGTTACGATCGCTCTATGCACTACAAGGCCTTGGTTAATTGACATATACATCTGAGGTAGACAGGCTGTGACTACTCAGTAGAATGGATGTATAAGGAGCCATCCATCTCCCTAGCCTAGTGCTGCGTCCCAAATGGCATCCTATTCCCTACATAGTGCACTACTTTTGACCAGAGCCCTATGGACTATATAGGGAATAGGGTGTCATTTGGGACAGACCCAATGCCTTTGGTTCCTGCAGGGGTAGTAAACAAACACAAGGGCAGCCAAGGTTTAGCAGTGCAGCAATGTAGCAATGTAGCTGGCTCGCTAATCAACAGGCGCTAACTGCCTTTCCCCTCCATCCGACCTTCCAGTAATCGATGGCTCGTCGTCATGCCTCACCGGCTCCCCTAGCAACGATATGTCTCCATCGTCATCGACTCTCTCACCTTGACCAGTTCTCTCACCTCTATTGATGACATTTAGTATAATGGAGTATTTCATCATGCGTGTGTATGGGGGGATGCAGTTACAATTTGATGTCATACATGCAATATGTTGTGTGTGGTGTGTGTGTTAGTTACAAAACATGATGTCATACATGTAACTATACACAATGTTTTATACTGTATGTATTGTGTGTTATGTCATTCTCTACCCCTTTGTGTACGTCTTGTTATACACTGAGTGTACAAAACATTAGGAACACCTTCTAAGCACCCCCCTTTGCCCTCAGAACAGCCTCAATTCATCGGGGCATGGACTCTACAAGGTGTCGAAAGCGTTCCAAAGGGATGCTGGCCCATGTTGACTCTAACACTTCCCACAGTTGTGTCAAGTTGGCTGGATGTCCTTTGGGTGGTGGACCATTCTTGACACACACGGGAAACCCAGCAATGTTGCAGTTCTTGACACACACAAACCGGTGTGCCTGGCACCTGCTACCATACCCTGTTCAAAGGCACTTAAATGTTTTGTCTTGCCCATTTACCCTCTGAATGGCACACATACACAATCCATGTCTCAATGCTTAAAAATCATTTTTTAACCTGTCTCCTCCCCTTCATCTACACTGATTGAAGTGGATTTAACAAGTGAGATCAATAAAGGATCATAGCTTTCACCTGGATTCACCTGATCAGTCCATGTCATGGAAAGAGTTCCTAATGTTTTGTACACTATATTTCCCAGTCTGTACCATTTAACAATACTGATGATTCTGTCTGGACTGAGTGTCCAACACACAGCCTTCCCTCTCTGGGCTCTCTTGTGTGTGTGTGTGTGTGTGCGTAAACAACAGCAGATAGCCCTTCAGCCAGCTCTATTCTCCTCCTAGCCCTGCGTTTCCATTTCAGATGCAACGATAAGACTGGGGTGTTCGTCCTATAATTCTTTCCTTACAGTTTCTCAGATTGAACACCATTGTTCCTTGTCACAAGAAGAGGGAGAGAATACCGGCCAAAGATGAACTCACTCGCTCTTCGAAGTAGCATAGAGACGTTGAGGATTATCAGAGAGGCGTAGATAGAACTTCTTGTAGAAGGTAGTCGGGAGGCGACGAAGGACCAATAGCGGCAAAAGCGGGCTAACAGTGATGAGAAGAGGCACCAGATAGAGAGAGATGATAGACTATAGATATAGTCATATCACTAGATAGATATAGATATCGCGCTATCTCTATCTTCTCTTTCTCTCTCTCTTTCTCTCGCTCTCTCTCTCTTTCTCTCTCTCTCGCTCTTCGCATCTCTCTCTCTCTCTCTCTCTCCTCTCTCTCTCTCTCCTCCTTCTCCTCTCTCTCTCAGGGGCAACTTCACGGTTAAGCCGCTGTTGATAAGTATCTTGCCTGTACTTGTAAATACTACAGATTACACTTTGCTACGCACTTTCACTCTTACTTGAACAGAGGTTCGGGTGTACTGTAGGTTACATAAACAGAGTTCTGATGAAAAGCCATGATGTTTTGGCCATGCTGTTAATCTAAAAACAACCCAGAGGACTTAACCATGGAAACAAGGCTCATATGATCTGTGTGCCTTATCGTCCACTAATCGGTGAGAACGTTTTTTTAACATAACATTAATGCAGTGGATAAATGACGGGGAGAGATGTACATTTAAACACTGTTGCTTTACCGATAAATAACAGTCTCCATACATAGTATGATAAGATACTCTCTAAGACAAGAGTTACATTTCATCTTCTTTAAATCAGTCTACGGAGACGTGGAAAGGGCAATTATTCCATTATCTCTACATAGTGTTTAATTTCCTGTTCCATAAACCATGCTATTAATCAATTACAGTGGCTTGCAAAAGTATTTACCCCCCTTGGCATTTTTCCTATTTTGTTGCCTTACAACCTGGAATTAAAATAGATTTTTGGGGGATTTGTATTATTTGATTTACACAACATGCCTACCACTTTTGAAGATGCAAATGTATTTATTTATTGTGAAACAAACAAGAACTAAGACAAAAAAACAGAAAACCTGAGCGTGCATAACTATTCAACCCCCCCCCAAAAGTCAATACTTTGTAGAGCCACCTTTTGCAGCAATTACAGCTGCAAGTCTCTTGGGGTATGTCTCTATAAGCTTGGCACATCTAGCCACTGGGATTTTTGCCCATTCTTCAAGGCAAAACTGCTCCAGCTCCTTCAAGTTGGATGGGTTCCGCTGGTGTACAGCAATCTTTAAGTCATACCACAGATTCTCAATTGGATTGAGGTCTGGGCTTTGACTAGGCCATTCCAAGACATTTAAATGTTTCCCCTTAAACCACTCGAGTGTTACTTTAGCAGTATGCTTAGGGTCATTGTCCTGCTGGAAATTGAACATCTGTCCCAGTCTCAAATCTCTGGAAGACTGAAACAGGTTTCCCTCAAGAATTTCCCTGTATTTAGCGCCATCCATCATTCCTTCAATTCTGACCAGTTTCCTAGTCCCTGCCGATGAAAAACATCTCCACAGCCTGATGCTGCCACCACCATGCTTCACTGTGGGGATGGTGTTCTCGGGGTGATGAGAGGTGTTGGGTTTGCTCCAGACATAGCGTTTTCCTTGATGGCCAAAAAGCTCAATTTTAGTCTCAACTGACCAGAGTACCTTCTTCCATATGTTTGGGGAGTCTCCCACATGGCTTTTGGCGAACACCAAACGTGTTTGCTTACTTTTTTTCTTTAAGCAATGGCTTTTTTCTGGCCACTTCCATAAAGCCCAGCTCTGTGGAGTGTACGGCTTAAAGTGGTCCTATGGACAGATACTCCAATCTCTGCTGTGGAGCTTTGCAGCTCCTTCAGGGTTATCTTTGGTCTCTTTGTTGCCTCTCTGATTAATGCCCTCCTTGCCTGGTCTGTGAGTTTTGGTGGGCGGCCCGCTCTTGGCAGGTTTGTTGTGGTGCCATATTCTTTCGATTTTTTAATAATGGATTTGATGGTGCTCTGTGGGATGTTCAAAGTTTTTGATATTTTGTATAACCCAACCCTGATCTGTACTTCTCCACAACTTTGTCCCTGACCTGTTTGGAGAGCTCCTTGGTCTTCACGGTGCCGCTTGCTTGGTGTTGCCCCTTACTTAGTGGTGTTGCAGACTCTGGGGCCTTTCAGAACAGGCGTATATATACTGAGATCATGTGACACTTAGATTGGACACAGATGGACTTTATTTAACTAATTATGTGACTTCTGAAGGTAATTGGTTGCACCAAATCTTATTTAGGGGCTTCATAACAAAGGGGGTGAATACATATGCACACACAACTTTTCAGTTATTTATTTTTTAGATTTATTTTTTAATTTCACTTCAACAATTTGGACTATTTTGTGTATGTGTCATTACATGAAATCCAAATAAAAATCAATTTAAATTACAGGTTGTAATGCAACAAAATAGGAAAAATGCTAAGGGGGAGGAATACTTTTGCAAGGCACTGTATCAATCGAGAATGATTTTGAAAGACCCTTTGGACGGTTTAGAGCCACAGCTAGTAAGATTTCCATGAATTTCAACTACACAATACACTATATCAACCACACAGGGGAGGTGCTCTTACATTGTAGAGGGGGATGCTCTTCATGGGCTTGTACTCCTTGAGGGGGTCCATCTTGTACAGGTGGCGGTCTGTGATGAGGATGGCCCGGTCCTCTGCCTTGTGGAAACGGTTGATCTGGGAAACACAAAGACCCTTATTAGTCACCCCACAGGAGACCCACACACAGCCAACACACACCACTGGGAGTTGGCTAAACTCAGGGACAGTTGGGTGAGAATGTGTGTGTGTGCAGGGGCAGACTGGCCATCTGGCATGTCGGGCAAATGCCAGATGGGCTGGTCCATTTTTAGCCCAGTGTGCCTGTCTAACTTGTGTGTTTTTTGTGCAAATTATATTTATCTGGGGCCTCAAGGAAAAAATTGTCTGGTGTGTTATAAATGGGCCGATTTCTGGTCCCAGTCCGCCCCTGTGTGTGTAGGGTGAGTGTAATAGATGTGATCGTATTCCCTATTATGTGTATGGTGTGTGTGTCCGCATGTGCATATATGTGTGTGTGGTATAGGGTTTGGGTTAGGTAATAGTCCCCAAACCTACTGTACCTTGCGCACGTTGCAGGAGAAGAGCACTCTCATGAACTTGTCCTTACGCTGCAACTCACTGGACACCAAGGTGAAGGAGGACGCTATGTCAGGACTGTCTCGCTTCTGAAAACACACACATAGACAAAGACTGTCATGACGATCAACTCCTCTACAAAGACAAACCTCTTTCCATTACATTTTAGTTCAACAACGCACACACACACACACACACACGTCACACACTTACGCCCCCACATCACCAAGGTCAGATACACGCTCACAGTCACCGGTAAACCACTGCACCGTCAACAAAAAACATACACACATTTACAACTACATTCAAATTAAAAACAACATCAGAAACACACACATCAATCGCTAACCTCTCCCTTTGAGGAGCTCAGAGCTAGTGTCAGAACCTCCCCTAGCCCCAATCCAACTCACCAGGTAGTTGCCCTCCCAGGTTCTTTGCAGCCCCAGGTCAGGTCTCTGGCCCTTGAGGGCCTCCAGGGTGGCAACCTTGGCCCTGATCTGCAGCTTCTCCTCTGGAGTCAGGTCTTTGATCAGAGTCCACGCCCACCACCTAGAGCAGCATGGAAACACCCACAGGAATAACAATGGAGCCAAGATATCGACTCTAACATGATTGGCTATTTCTGACGTGATGATACTGTGAAACAGTGATTTTTGGGGGCTTTGAATGAGGCTTTGATGGGGGAAAAGTCTATGTCCACCACAGACCTGAGGCTGGAAGGAAACACGGGTAAGAACCTTCAAAGGAAACCAGTTGGAGTAGAAAACAGTACCTACTCCACAAAATTCTTACTACACTGATGATACTGATGGAAGGGCTTACAGTGCATTGTGTTCAAGGGTTGATGTTTTATCCGAACAGAGGTAGGATTACTCATACTACAACCCCTTTGTGTGTGTGTGTGCGCGACACTTCTGTTTGTTTACCTGTTGTAGATGCTCCGCAGCGCCTCTTCAAACTTCCGCAGGACTTTGGGCGGCGTGGGCCACTTGACGTGCTTGCCATGGTCCTTCATGGAGCGCACGTTCTTGAATTTGCGGTTGACGTCCTTGATGTAGGACTTGACCTTGTAGTGCTGGTAGGCCCGCAGGATGACGAGGGCGGCTCGCATGCGCCGGTAACGCATCCTGGCTATGGTACCGCGCCATACCTGGTGAATAGAACCGAAGAGAGAGAAGGGATAGGTTAATACAGTGGAAATGAATAAATCTCTATTGATACTGTACCTCCCAATAACAACTATTAGTTTAACAGGATTTATGTCTAGAGTATGAAGCATACTGTCAATATAACAAATGTATAAATGAAGGCAGCCTATATTTGAGCAACATTTTCTCAGACACTTTTAAAATGAGATACAGTACAGTTAGATGCATAAACTCAAGCAAGAAAGACAAAACAAAGATTCACATAATTCAATGTCACATTCATGTTAGTACCTGTAAATCTGAACAGCATGTATGTTGGAATCTTATTGAAAAGAATGCATAAAATAACTTGTATGTACGTTTTTATGATCTGAAGCAAGAAAGCCAAAACAAAAGATTCACATCATAAAATGTTACATTCATGTTAGTAGCTGTAAATGTGAACAGCATGTGTGTTGGACTCTTATTGAAAAGAATGCCCTGAGCCGGCGTAACCAAACTTCAGTTACACCCCCCCCCCCCCCTCCTATCAACCGCTCCGTAACACCCCCCATAAAACATGAATAATAAATGGTAGTGGAACCCCAGGGAGACATCTCTTCTGCTCCTTCCTCACTAAAACCACTGCCATATGCTCCCTTTTAGTTCATATTGATTCATAGACCCGTATCAGTCTATTTAACTTACTGTAAACAACAAACACAGACCATATATAGTGTTGACAGTCTCAATTGTGTTTTATGTTGACACGCAAGCGTAACTCAATAGTGTTCCAGTCATATAATTAATATACTGTATATCTCAATGGTAGCGCATCAGTCCTTCGTCACACAGTGCAATCGTTCTAATATGCTATAATTCTGCAGATCATGAATATTTTATTCCTTAATGTGTGTATGTTTGGCGGTGGTTGATTTGAAAAATGTTCTCTGACATTAGCATATTCAATATGGGGGAGGTGTTTCACCTGGGGGGGTTGATTATGTGGTTATTAAATATAGCTAAGCAACACACAGCGTTGGATTAACATTGCTTTCTGCCTGTTTGCTTTGGTTCATTTAACCTCCCTATATTTAATGCAACATTAATTGTCAAGTACAAATACACAGAATACAGTGCAAACAAGAGGTCCTAAGTATCCAAAATCGAACTGATCTAATCTACTTTAAGGCATCACCACAGCTACAGTAACACTACGATCCATTCAGAGGCCACCACTAGTCAAGTGGATCAATCACACAGAGATAAATGAAGGACAGTCAAGAGTGAACTGTCCCTCACTGATGACCTCAAACTCCCCTTGTCCCCCACTTCGCTGCCCTAGGTGGCTCATAGATAATGGAGGAGGGAAGAGAGAGACCAGAGTGATCCACATTCATCACTCCCACCAACCCCTGGGTTGTATTCATTAGGCACCAAATGAAGAAAAAATGACTGAAAACTGGGAGGGACTACCTGAACTCGTCCAGTAAGAAACACTTGTTTTCCGTTACAATACATTTTGCTACAGTGTGCAGTAATGAATATAACCCTTATTCTACCCTCCCACGTGGCAGGGATTATGGTGAGTTGAATGAATGAATAAATGAATGAATGGAAAAATGTCCAACTCATAGACGGTCCCCGCTAGCTAACAGTGTTAGAAGACCCCATTCAAATTCAGATTTAATAAAACGTTTGAGGAAATTAAGTGTGTTTTAAGCAGGCGCATGAGATATTGTAGTATAATGTATTAAAATGGAGATGGAGTATTCAATATATTGCTTAAGGGACCTGAATATATTCTGGTGTTGGTTTGAGATTCACAAAATTTGCTTAAGTGATCGTGAGCAATATACTGTAGGGCTATTGGACTCTCAATGACCTTCTTTACTTTGATTTTAAACAAAGACTACGAGTGTAGAGGTGGTGGGATGGAGTTAACGACTCTCATTAATATAAGCTCACAACCTGATTTCATGCAGTACATCTCTTCCTAAACATTCCATATGGGCAGACATGAGAAACGTTACCTAAGAAACAAAATACTGTTGCCATATCTGATTAACCGTGGCAGTTTTGTCATAATATTGCCTGGCTCATACCCATAGATGGTAGCTACTTACAGTGCCTAGTGAAAGTCTACACATCCCTTTCACAATTGTCACATTTTGCTGCCTTAAAATTAAATCTAAAAAGGGATTAAATTAGATCTACACAACATTTTCTAAATTAATTAAAAAACAAAAAACAAAGATTGCTTGCGTATTTTTTCATTCACCAGAGTTAAGACTTAGTGGAAGCACCTTTGGCAGCCATTACAGCTGTGAATAATTTTGAATATGATTCTACCAACACTGCACAACTCTTAGGGCAACATACTGTATATCCATTGTTTTTGTCAAAATTGATCAAGCTCAGTAAATTTGGTTGGGGATCATTGATGGGCAGAAATATTCAAACCTTGTCTCTAGTACTTTACTTGATGTAGGAAGTGCAGGGTATGTCTTTTTCCAAGTCGGTCCATTAGACTATGTTCACCGAAATTCACACATGACATTATGCTATAGAGACCTCTGATTATTCACTGTTAACAGTTCATACACATTTTCCATGACTTCTCCATGACTTTGAACCAAATTTTCATGTCTATTATTCAGTGGTGTAAAGTACTTAAGTAAACATACTTTAAAGTACTACTTAAGTAGTTTTTGGGGGTATCTGTACATTACTTTATTATTTATATTTTTGACTACTTCTACTTCACTACATTCCTTAGGAAAACATTGTACTTTTTACTCCATACATTTTCCTTGACACCCAAAAGTAATCGTTACATTTGGAATGCTTAGCAGGACAGGAAAATGGTCCAATTCATGCACTTATCAACAGAACATCCCTGGTCATCCCTACTGCCTCTGATCTGGCGGACTCACTAAACACACATGCTTCATTTGTAAATTATGTCTGAATGTTGGTGTGCCCCCGGCTATCCGTAAATTAAAAAAACAAGAAAATGGTGCCGTATGGTTTGTTTAATATAAGCAATCTTAAATGATATATACTTTTACTTTTGATACTTAAGTATATTTTAAACCAAATACTTTTAGACTTTTATTAAGGTATCTTTACTTTTACTCAAGTATGACAATTGGGTACTTTTTCCACCACTGCTATTATTATAGCCTACATGAAAAAGTAAGCATTATTGACACTGGAAAGCTGCTGTGTCTGATTGCATGTAGACCTACCACCTCCTGCCGTTGTGCCCTTGATCAAGGCACTTAGCCCCCACACAGAAATGCACTGTTAGTCACATGTTGTCATCCCTATCCCAGTCTGCTGTCCCCACATGCTTCAAGATGGCCACCATTTTTCCTGTACCCAAGAAAGCAAAGGTAACTGAACTAAACGACTATCGCCCCGTATCACTCACTTCTGTCATCATGAAGTACTTCGAGAGACTAGTCAAGGATCATATCACCTCTACCTTACCTGCCACCCTAGACCCAGTTCAATTTGCTTACCGCCCCAATAGATCCACAGACGATGCAATCGCCATCACTCTGCATACTGCCCTATCCCATTTGGACAAGAGTAATACCTATGTAAGAATGCTGTTCATTGACTATAGCTCAGCATTCAACACCATAGTACCCTCCAAGTTCATAATTAAGCTTGAGGCCCTGGGTCTGAACCCCGCCCTGTGCGACTGGGTCCTTGACTTCCTGACGGCCGCCCCCAGGTGGTGAAGGTAGGAAACAACACCTCCACTTCGCTGATCCTAAACACTGGGGCCTCACAAGGGTGCGTGCTCAGCCCACTCCTGTACTCCCTGTTCACCCATGACTGCGTAGCCAAGCACGCCTCCAACTCAATCATCAAGTTTGCAGACGACACAACAGTAGTAGGCTTGATTACCAACAATGACGAGACAGCCTACAGGGAGGACGAGAGGGCTCTGGGAGTGTGGTGCCAGGAAAATAACCTCTCACTCAACGTCAACAAAACAAAGGAGATGATCGTGGACTTCAGGAAACAGCAGAGGGTGCACCCCCCTATCCACATTGACGGGATCGCAGTGGAGAAGGTGGAAAGCTTCAAGTTCCTTGGTATACACATCACTGACAAACTGAAATGGACCACTCACACAGACAGTGTGGTGAAAAAGGCGCAACAGAGCCTCTTCACCACAGGAGGCTAAAGAATAACCCTCACAAACTTTTACAGATGCACAATTGAGAGCATCCTGTCGGCCTGTATCACCACCTGGTACGGCAACTGCACTGCTCGCAACCGCAAGGCTCTCCAGAGGGTGGTGCGGTCTGCCCAATGCATTACCGGGGGCAAACTACCCGCCCTCCAAAACACCTACAGCACCCGATGTCACAGGAAGGCCAAAAAGACCATCAAGGATATCAACCACCCGAGCCACTGCCTGTTCTCCATGCTATCATCCAGAAGGCGAGGTCAGTACAGGTGCATCAAAGCTGGGACAGAGAGACTGAAAAACAGCTTCTATCTCAAGGCCTTCAGACTGTTAAACAGCCATCACTAGCACATTAGAGGCTGCTGCCTATAGACATAGACTAGAAATCACTGGCCACTTTAAGAAATGGAACACTAGCCACTTTAATAATGTTTACATATCTTGCATTCCTCATCTCATATGTATACACTGTATTCTATACTATTCTACGGTATCTTAGTCACTTTAATAATGTTTACATATCTTGCATTACTCATCTCTTATGTATATACTGTATTCTATACTATTCTACTGTATCTTAGTCCATGTTCTGAGATCGCTCGTCCATATATGTATGTATTCTTAATTAATTATTTACTTAGATTTGTGTGTATATGTTTTGAAATTGTTAGATATTACTTGTTAGATATTACTGCACTTTTGGAGCTAGAAGCACAAGCATTTCGCTACACCCACAATAACATCTGCTAAACACGTGTATGTGACAAATAAAATGTGAATTGATTTGATCCTTCAATCTGGAGAGCTCCTGGG